TTTTTTTTTTTTTTTAAAGACCTTAACACATGCTGGACAAACTGATTATCCACATGCAGAAGAGTGAATAGAGACCCATACCTCTCACCCTGTACTAAAATCAAATCAAAATGGATCAAAGACCTAGATATAAAAACAGACACCATGACTCTGCTGGAAGATAAAGCCAAGGACTTTCTGAACAGAACCCCAATTGCACAAGAAATAGCACCAGCAATCAACAAATGGGATCCTAGGGGCTGAGGATTTAGCTGAGTGGCACAGCACCGGCAAAAGCAAAGTCGTGAGTTCGATCCCTGGTACCGGAAAAATAAAACAAAAAACAAAAAACAAATGGGATCCTATCCAAAAACTTCTGTACAACAAAGGAAAAAGCAACAGAGTAAAGAGCCAACCTACTAATATTCTACTAAGTCTTCTCTTTATATATTCTACTAATAGCTAGAACATATAAAGAATTTTTAAAAATTAGGCCCCCCAAAATAAAAGACCCAATCAAAAAGTGGGCAATTAAAATGAATAGACACTTCTTAAAAGAAGTACAAATGGGCAACAGGCACATAAGAAAATGTTTGGCACCTCTGGCCATCAAAGAAGTATAAATCAAGAGCAGAGAGGGAAAGGGGATCAAAAGAGAAGTGTGCTGGCACACACCTGTAATCCCAGCACTTGGGAGGCTGAGGCAGCAGGATCATCCCGAGTTCAAGACCAGCCTGAGCCACAAAGTGAGCTCAAGGCCAGCCTGAACTGCATAGTGAGACCCTGTCTCATAAAGACAAAAAAAAAAAAGAAAAAAGAGAGAATTAACATGTGATATGTAAATGTACGAGCTTCCCACAATGAATATAATCTTTTTTTTTTTGTAGTACTGGGTATCGAACTCACAACCTTGCGCTTGCCAGTCAGGTGCTTATGTCACTAAGCTGTATTGCCAGCCTGTGAAAATAATCATATACTGCAAACATGTACTCACAAAAGTAAAAATTAAAGAAGACTAAAAATAGAAATCCCATCTGACCCAGCTACATGTTGGTATCTTCCACAAAGGTTAAAGTCATCAGATCACAGTAATACATGCATACCCAACTTTATAGCAGCACAATTCATAATAGCTAAATCTTGGAAGCAGCCTATGTCCATCGACAAATGAATGGATAAAGAAAATGTGACGTTTATGCACAATGGAGAACTACTCAGCTATAAAGAAGGATACATTTGAGTCATCTGTAAAAAAATGGGTGCACCCTGAGCCTATAATGCTAAGTGAAATATACCTGACAAGGAAAGTGAAATACTGCATGATCTCTCTTATATGAGAAACCCAAAGTATAAATTATTTAAAGGGAAAAATAAAAGATAAATGATATGAAATAGAAAGACAGACTGTGGAAATGTGAAGGGGATCTGAGTATGGGGAAAATGAGGCGAGAAGAATGGGAATTAAAAAGGATCAAGATGAGATATGTATGTATACACCAGTTCTCCATGATGAAATTACATTTTCTTTTTTTTGAGACAGCATCTCGCTGTGTAGTTCAGGCTGGCCTTGAACTTTCTATGTGGCCAAGGCTGGCCTCGAACTTGAGGCCATCCTCCTGCCTCAGACTCCCTGGAGTGCTGGGATTATAGGCGTGCACCACCACACCTGGCTCGCTTCTTTCTTTCTTTTTTTTTTTGGGGGGGGGGGTGTTTCCGGGACTGGGAATCGAACTCACAACCTTGCACTTGCCAGGGAGGCGCTGTGCCGCTGAGCTAAATCCCCAGCCCCTTCACTTATTTATTTTTTAACAGTGCCAAAGTTTATTTCAAAAGTGAAGGGTGAACGGGTAAGGAAGCAACTGGCTCTGCAGAGCAAACTTGGGCAGAATAAAAGAGAGGAAAAGGTAAAAGCAAAAATAAATACACCCTGTTTTCTGTATATAGGCCTATTTCATATTTTAATACTCTTGTAAACGATGATTTCTTTTTGCCCTCATGAAGTGGAAGTACAGTTGCTTTTCTTTTTTTTTTTTTTGGTACCAGGAATCAAACTCTAGACCTCACGCTTGCCAAGCACATGCTGTGCTGCTGAGCTATATCCCTGGAACCAGTTGGTTTTCACTAAACATTTACTAATAATAAATAAATACATAAATAAATACACCCTGGGTCTGGCAGACACAAGGCAGGCTACTAAGAGTCAGGATAGCCAATGATGAATGTATATATGGTTTGGCAAACATACTAATAAAAAAAAATTTTTTTAACTAAAAAATAAAAAGCCAGACATGGTAGCCCACACCTGTAATACCAGCTCAGGAGGTTAAGGGAGGAAGACTGCTGTGGATTCAAGGCCAACCTGGACTACATAATGAGTTCAACGTGAGTATGGACTACACAGCAGACTGTCTAAAAACAAACAAAAAAAAGGTATGAAGTACATCTACACATAACATAGATGGAGCTTAAAAATAATTTTCTTTTTTGGTACTAGGAATCGAACTCAGAACCTTGCGCTTGCCAGGTAGGTGCTGTGCCACTGAGCTATACCCCCAGCCCAGAAATAATACTGATTGAAGACAGCAAGGGCCAGAGGACTATAACTTAGGCTACCTTTTATAAAGCACAAAAAAAAGCAAAAATAGATTTACTGATACACTGTTTAGACATATATTTATGTACATAGGAAAACTTACACAAACTCTAGGAAATTATAAACATAATAATTCAAAATAGTGGTTACAGGTAGCCAGGGATATAGCTCAGCGGCATAAGCACCTGCCTGGCAAGCACAAGGTCCAGAGTTTGATTCCCCGTAGCAAAAAAGAAAAAATAGTGGCTACCTTGGGGGCTGAGAGAAGTGCTGGACAGGAAAGAAAGGCACACACAAACTACTGGCCGTGTGTTAGTTCTTTTTTGGATGACAGAGTATGGGTATTCACTGTTTTGGTTTTTTATTTGTTTGTGGTATGAAGGCTTGAACACAGGACCTTGCATATGAGAGGCAAGTACTCTTATCACTGAACAACTCACCCCTACCAGTTCTAGTATTAAATGTTTGTTTAGGGCCAGGGATAGAGCTCAGTGGCATAAGCACTTGCCTGGCAAGCACAAGGTCCTGAGTTCGATTCCTGGTACCAAAAAAAAGTTTTTTTGTTTTGCTTGGTTGAGACAGGATCTCTTTGGCTGGCCTCAAACTTGCTTAAACTCACAATCATCCTGCCTCAGGCTCCCACGTGCTGGAATTACAAGCACATGCCTCCTGGCCTGGTTCCTACTACTTTTTTTTTTTTTTGGTTTTTCTCCGGTACCGGGAACCGAACTCACGACCTTGCGCTTGCCAGGCAGGCGCTTTGCCGCTGAGCTAAATCCCCAGCCCCTCCTACTACTTTAATAATGTGTATTCTTTTTGTTTTTGCTGTTGTTGTTTTGAACCAGGGTCTCAGTATGCAATTCAAGCTGGCCTCGAACTTGCAGTGATCCTCCTGCCTCAACCCCTCAAGTGCTGGGATTACAGGTGTGCGCCACCACACCTGGCTACAATATATGTATTTTTGGCATGTGTCAAATATTGCATTCAAAACTAAAAGGACACATCCTTACAGACACATAGACACATGCACAGAGCTATTCACTGACATATTAGCAAGACACACAAACACACACCCAGTCTCATGGACTCACACAGGTCCTTCCTTAAATTGGGATAGTCACCCTCCAAGACACACAGAGAAACCTTCACATATTAACAATTGCAAACTGACCCACACATTCATTTACATACCCTCCTACCAGGCCCTGACCCACAAAGGAGGGAGCTCCTATGGGGAGCTAAACTGCTGTGGGGACTGCAGATGTTTATAGGTCACTGGACTGGTGGGTTTCCTAGAGCACACCCCTAATGCAAGGCTCCCTAGGTACCCACCTAATTCCCGAGATACCACTCTCCGTGGGACCAGCTTCTTGACCTAGACAGAAAAAGCAGTATTAGAATCCAAAGAGGGGTTCCCCACATGTCTAAGCCCACCCTAAGTTAGGGTCCAAGGAGTGCCATATGTATTGGCTGCTTTTAGGGAGTCCCATGCCCTTCTGTCTGTGCCCAGTGTGTGTCAGGACTGCCAACTTTGTCCCAAGTAGCTTGCCACCTAAGTGTGCAGCTCTGTACTCACTGGGGGTGGTGGGAGCACAAAGTTGTCTGGAAAAACGCCTCTTTTGCCCCGACACTCTCCTTCCCACCAGCCTTTATCCTCTGTGCACTGGGAGAAAAACATGCTGGTAGGGAGCTGAGCCAGGTCCCCCAAGCTCCTCTCCTAGGTCCCACCCCCTCAGCGCCCCCATCCCCGAGCCTCCCCCATCAGTTCCTCTCCCACCTTTCTCAGTACTTTCACCTCGTCCCCCCTCTTCAGTGGCAACTCGTCAGGGGCCTCCGGCTGGTAGTCAAACAGGGCCCTGTAGGTCTCAGGGTGGGAGACTGGGGCAAGGTCAGGTCACCTGAGCCAGCCCTCTCCCCTCCCTCAAGGTGCCCTCCTCCCTCAGCCTGGCTTGGAAGTGGGGCGACCTCTTTGGTTGGGTGCTCACCTGTCCTCAGGTAGTCTGGAGGGCTGTCAAAGGTCAGGCCTGCCAGCTAGTGGGGGCGGACAGGACAACAAGATGAGCCTCCCACCAGCCCAAGAGAAACTCGCCACCTCTGTGCCCACTCGGACCCAGTTTACCTTGGGAGGCTGCTGAGGACCAGGGCTGATGGAAGGCAGGTCTGTGTTACCAAGACCTGGTTGGGGAGAGTGAGGTTAGTGAGGTGCTAATTCACAGGTCATGGGAGGGCACCAGAGGGGTCACACGGTCAAAATGTGTGAATCACAGGTTCATGCCACCAGATCACTGGAGAGTCAGTGTGGTCCCAGGGGGCCCCAAGGTTCCAGGGTCCAGGTCTCACTTGGGGGCCCACTGTCCAGCAACTCCACAAAGTTGGATGGGAAGGCTCCCAGCTGCCCGTTCTTCTTCCCCAGCCACCAGCCGTCCTCAATCTGGGGAGGGGAGGACGCAGGGACATCTGGCTCCGCCGCAAGGGTGTCTAGAAATCCTATACTCTCGGTTCTGCCCAAGGACCCACTCTTCCTTGTCCCTCCCTTCCCCTCTCGCCCCTCACCCTTCTTATCTTCTCCTTGGTTTATCCAATGCCCCTTCCCCAACGCCTCTCACAGTGTTATCTCCTCACCTCCTTTATCACTTCTACAGTCTCCCCAGCTTGCAGCTTCAGCTCGTCCACCTGCTCCGGACTGTAGTTGAAGTTCACTTTGCACCATCTTTGCGGGCCCCGAGATTTGGAGGGCTGCCCTGGTTGTACAAGAGTTAAGACTGAGCCAAAGCCAGGGTCCGCGGGACTGGAGGAGGGGCTGGGCGCGAGCATGCCCGTTGTGCCCAAGGCCCCGCCCCCGGGCGGAGCATTGTCCTCTGAACCAATCACAGGCCGCAAGCCGGCTCCGTGGCCCCTCCCACAGACGCGGCTGTGCCCGAGCGGCGAGGCCTGCGCGTGCCTATCAGCCTGCGGCAACCCCCTGCCCACTGCCGGGGCGCTCACGTGGGCGGCGCGCGCAGCGTGGTCTCAGCGCCTCCCCGGCAACTCGTAGGGCTTCTGGAATCTCCTGGGAATGAACGCCTGGCTAGGTCCTCTCAGCTCCCAAGCGGAGAGCCTTGAGAGCCCCCCAGCCTGCTCCCTGGGCGACCTTACCTGCACGAGGCGCTTAGGGAAGAGGCCACAGCGGCCCCCTAGCTCTCCGCGCAGCCAGCCCCTCGCGGGCCCCTGGCGCACCTGCCGGACCACGTCCCCAGGCGCCAGGCTCAGCTCGTCCTCTTTCCGGGCGCGGTATCTGGCCAGGACCAGGACCTCTGCGGGCGGGCGGGCGGGCCGAGGGCCGGCCGGGGTCGCGGCTCAGAAGGGGCCAAGCGGAAGCGCTCCCAGGCGACCCCGAGCCCAGTGCAGAGGACGGCGGTAGTGTGGTGTAGGTTTTTACCGTTCTACACAGCACAAAGAAGCCACCCCAGACCCTCCGCACATACCCATGACTTCCGGGGCGCCTTCCAGAGCCTGGCCCGTCCGGCTGGCGACTGAGCACTGTTTTGGGCTAGGGAGGGTGAGTCTTCGGGGCAAAGAAGGCGGAGACACCAGCCAAAGGTCAGGCCGCAGGTGCTGGGAGCGGACGTGGGCGAGGGAGAGGGGGCGGCCTGGCTCAGCAGGTTTGGCCCTATTCTGGCGGTGAGGGCCCCCAGGGCTTCTGGCTTGTGCTGGGGTCTCAGCTTTCTCACGTGCCCTTTCTAGGCTAGCAACCTCTCCCTTCCGCCCAGCCTGGGCCCACCCTCTTGGCTCAAAAGCTTTTAGCTTCAGGTGAAGAGGTGGGGAAAAGCACATGCTAGGGTGGAGCCCCTAGCTGGCTGCGAGCCCTTAAAGCCAAGGTCTGGATAGAAAAGTTGGTAGCTCCAGTTCCTGGAAAGGTACTGCTTGTATGCTTCAAACCTATGCATCCCTGAAAGGAGCTCCCCACCTCTTGCCGCCTCTGGAGAGAGCAAACCCTACTCGGCAGGTTGAGTTGGGTTTCATTAAAAAGAGAAGGCACGTATAACTTTGAGTTCCTACTTATGATTGGAGCTGAACAAATTTTGAAGATTAGGGCCCCTACAAGCCCACCCCGTGTGGACTACACTTCCTGCCAGGCCAGGTAACCTTCCTGCGCAGTGCACAGTGAAGGCCGGGCCTGTTAGCCACAGCCCTTCACTGCTAAAGCAAGGAGGGAGCCGAAGTTCTTGTTCATGACACTACAGTATAGTAAAAACAATCTGATTTCTCCAGGGCTGTCCAAGGCTCAGGATGAAGCAAAACCACTAGGGCAGGAACGAAGAGTCACTGCTCCGCAGGGGAACAGAGGCCGTTCCTCTGCTGTTGCAGGAACAGGCTGAAGGGGATGAGCCGCAGCTGGGGCCCTGCCCCTCACAAGAATTTTCTCTTGCGGGATTCCTGAAACTGCTGTGGGCGGTATCTATTACCCTCTGAAGGAGCACACACTCAGGGTTAACAATGAACACAGCCCACATACACCCGCCACTTTTATTGTTTTTATTTGCAGGAGGAGTTGAAACAAATTTTAAGAGTGTTTTTCTTTTTCCCCTAAACATGAATCATTCAAGTAAAACCAACTTAACTATAGAAATGTAGCAAAGTAAGGGGAAAGCACAACAACCCAAGCAAAGGTTGGGGGGAAGAGGAGGGTACAGTCCACATAGAGCATATGCACAGATGCCATATGATTCACCTGCTCAGGACAGCCTCCTCGTCAGGAGAAAGGACCCCAGTATAAGAGGATGTTTCCCCCCAAACATCTGAGAATGTTTCAACTTAAAGCTTAAGATTAAAAAGATAAAAATAACCAAAAAAAACCACATAACCCCAAGAATCACCCAGCCATAACCACCTTCCTTAATCGATCATAGGCGTTTCTTTCATTTTATAAAAAGATTAATAAAAAATATTGAAAAAATTATTTTCTCATCTTATATTTGTAAAGATAATAGAATTCAGAAGTATCTTAGAAAACCGACCAGAAACTGCCCTCCAGTTTCCACCCCTGTTGCTGAGGATCAGCAGGACTAGAAAGTTTGGGACATTGGAGCTGCTGGTGGAGAATGGGAAGCCCAGCCCAGGAGAAATCAGAAAATACAGGAGCGGGGTGCATGGGAAGTGGTTAGGAGCAACTCCATGTGACACAGCTGCGCAGAAAAGGGGAACGTAAGGTGGTCAGAAAGGCCTTAAACTCCTCCTCGACATACAAAACTGGATTTTACAAAGATCCAAGCAGTTTGGTCCCAAACTGAGGTGAACACTTCAATGTTTATTCACATGCTTTGCTTTCTCTTTTAAGAATCAAAGTTGCCCAAATTAAATCTTTCTATTACTACATATGTCTAAAAAAAAGAAAAGAAAAAAAGGGGCCTTTTAAAATCAGGTCAGGGGAGAAGAGACTGAAAATCATCAAATTAGTCCTCTTATCTCCAAATGAAATGAAAATTAAAAACTGGTGGTTTCTAATAGCAAACAAACCAAAATCAAGCATCGCTCTCCCTCCCCTCCCCTAGCCCCCAACCCCATACACCAACAACAAATGAGAAACATGGCTAGAGCCCAACATGTCATGTTCTGCCAAGCTGGGCCTGACCCCAGGCTCTGTGGTGGCCTCCCGTCCAGTGGGTGCAGCACCAGGGACACTTTCCGCTGTAGTAGGGTTCTGCACGGCTGGTGGGGGTGGGGGTGGGATGTTCAGAATCTTCTTGAGGCTCCTCTGTTCAGCTCACCAGCCATCTTCCCAGTGCCTCTCTCCCCTGGCCAAGGGCTCCCATCAAGAGTGGCCCCTACTCAGTTGTGGGCTGTAAATTGTCCTTTTCTTCTCGGTTCTCTGTTCCACTCTCATCATCTTCAATCTCCCCTTCCTCCCCACTAAACTTGTCGTGGGCCCATTTGGGGCTGGTACTGGATTTCCGGAACATGAACCGGCCCCGACCCCGGGGGAAGGCTCCTCGGCCTCGGCCGCGGCTCACCCACTTATCACTGCCTTCGCCTTCTCGGTCATCGTGCTGAGGAGAAGAAACAGCTGTCAGTAACACAGCTCTCTTTTCTGTGCCCCACCCCCCCAGACACACCTTTCCCTCAAAGGACCTGTGCCCAAGCCCAGTCTTTTTTTTTTTAATGTATGTGGTGCTAGGGATCGAACCCAGGGCCTTGCGCAAGACAAGAGCTCTACCACTGAGCCACATCCCCAGCCCCCCAAGCCCAGTCTTTTGTGCCTTTCTGCTCTTCTTCCCTGTCCCCTACTTGAAAAATGCCACTGGTTCAGATCTAAGGGTGTCAGGAGGGTGCTTTAGGAATTCTGAGACACTAACTTGCACATTTTAATGTTAACCATCTAGCACCAAAAACAATCGTAACTCATTTACTCCTCAAATATACCCCATCATTATGTCCACTATACAAATGAGAAAAGAGTAACCTACAGTAACTCCATATTTGGTATATCACTCCTCAAAGGATTAATCTGAGGGCCGGGGATATACCTCAGTGGTACAAACACCTGCCTGGCAAGCACAAGGTCCTGAGTTCAATTCCCGGTACAAAAAAAGGATTAATCTGAGAAAGCCAATCATACTTTTAGTGAAATGATGTCTGAACTGGGTTTCTGGGCAGCTAAGAAAAGGAGCAACACTCAGAAGACAGAGCTGGGACAGGACTAGGGATATGGGTGTCTAGCAAGTCAAAGGTCAGGGTTCAATCCCTAGCACAGGGGCACAGTGGGGGGTGGGAGTAGGGGGTGTCAGACACATCTAGGGCCCCAGCTCTTCCCACTTCACCCCTCTTCCCCTCCTCAGTTGTATACAACGAGGCAGGGTGGCACAGTAGAAGAAAAATCTGACATCTCAAAACAAGCCCTGTTCTGATGATCCCCTAGGATGAATGGACATATCCAATGAAAGAACAAGAATGCATTCTGGAAACGAAGTTGTTACTTCATCTGTCCCTTAACTTGAAAGTCTATACCATCCACTCACATAAACTAGGGCCTTACTGCCCTGCAGGTCAGCTTAGCTGAAGTGCCAGCTGGTTCTGTCCACAACTGCATGCACACCATACTAAAAAACCAGGTTGGCAAACCTCTTTCAGGGGACAGTCAGAGGCAGGCTAGAGGGGCTTTGTATGGCTTTAATTTTTCCTTCCACAGCAGCATCCATCCTGGGCCCAGCCAACTGCACTACTCTAGACATAAGTTCAAGGGTCCTCCAAAAGCCTTTGAGTGGCCCTAGAAAAGTGAGGATGGCCATGCACGGTCATCCACACAAAAACCTGAGTTTCCAAACTATGTAACTGACAATGCAAACCCACGCCAGCCATTCAAATGGTGGATGGTCAGCAACAAGCTTACACTGGTTACAACACTAAGTCATACCTGCTTGGATATGGGCCTTCTGTGACACACAGCAAGGCCAAGGGTCCTCACTCACTGGCCCATAACTTGGCCTAGAAAGGCCCCACACTGAGAAGCCCAAAAGAGAATGGGACTGATCCACAGCTTAGATCTCAGAACCCCCAGGGGCATTTCATTTTGGAGACAAATCCTTTTCCTCAAAGAGATCTGTGAGCTGTCTTTTTTTCTATTAATCTTGCTCTGGGAATGATAGAAGCTGTGGGTGAGTGAGCAGTAAGGTAAGTTCACAAACTAAAAAGGCAAGAGCAACACTTCTTACCCTTGAATCCATAAGCATTTTAGATGACAATCCCTACTGGAGCCAGTACTGACTTAACTGTCTTGAGGACAGCCAAGTCTACCACTGTACTGTCCAACAAGTACACATCCCCAGTGCAATATGCCTGCACAAACATTTAACTACAGGGTTGGATAGACCAATTAAGGAAGGTCTTGGAAACTGCTACTATATGAACCAAAAGCCCTCTGGCTCTTCCTGGTTAGCCCAGACACATACCAAGTAATACTTCTTGCTTTTGGGTGTATACTCTGGATCCCATTCCTCTTCCCGGTTTCTCTTTTGAAAATCATTGTTACTGTTGTTGTTATTGTTACCAGAGTAGTTGCCTCTGCCCCAGCCTCTCCCTCTGGCTCGAAATTGCTGTGGTAATAAAAGAGGGTGGTGGTGAGATGAGACAAAGGTCTGTCAGAAAGAGACCAACTCCTAGCATTTGGTTCAAACATTTTCCTGGCACAGAACGGGCACCTATCCCCCAGTCACATGCAGTCCAACTGGTTTTAGGCCTTTCTTTTCTAGTGACCCCAAGTCTACAGCCCAAAGAATAAACATGGCCTAAAAGCCTCCCTGTAAACAGTAGAATTCAACGTGAGGGGTGGGGGTAATGTTTCTAAGATGGGAAGCTTTAAAAGACTAAATAATCATGAACAGAAAAATAACCAAAAATGGAAGGCTTCAGGAGCATGGATGGGAGAATCAAAGCATCTAGGGTCTGTACACTGGATTGCTAGTAAGAGGTAACAAAACTGTTATTTTGATGAAACATACACAGAACTGGAGGGAGCCAGGGACTTAAATGAAAGAGGAAGGTCTTACAAAGGTTCCCCGAGCTCTGCCGCCTCCTCTTTCACTTGGACCCACGAAGTCTTTGGTCCCCAGTCTTGATTTGTCAAAGCCTGTGGTGCTCTCTTCTCTCTCCTCTGTCTCTTCAGGGTACTCTTCCACTTTGTAGGAGTGAGATGACTGGGAGGAGGAGGAGGAGGACCTGGACCGGTCTCGTGTTCTCCGATGCTTCCTATAAAAAGAATCAGGAAACCAGTAAAGCCTCTTGTCCTGACTGCCTCACAGATGAAAAGTATAAGATAATCGGAGTGGGTCTGCAATGAAGAAACTGAACACAAGTTGCCTGAAAGAACGAGCTCAACCCAACCTATTCACTCTGCCCACCCAGAGCTTCCTCCTATTTTGTAGGAGGAAGTTATGTCTGACATCTAAGACCATGAGGAACATGGACCACAGAAGGAACAAGGCAAAGCCATAACCCTCAGCAGCTCAGTCTAAGACACATGAGTAACCGAGGCAGAAAAGCCAGGCATGGTGGCAGATGCCTGTAATCCCAACTCTCAGGAGGCCGAGGCAGGACCCTGTCTCAAAAAAGAGAAAGACAAAAAGACGGAGAGAGGGCGGGAGGGAGAGCAAGAAAACGCTAGTACTGTACAAGAGCCACAATACAATTGTACTGTGGCAGAGGTTCTCTGTTACTACTTTTATGTTATTTTTAGTTCTCAGAAGAAATGTCACCTGTCCCTTGGGGTAGCTATAAGGATGAAATAGTATGTCTAAACACTTTACACAGACATAAAGGCAATACAATTATTCTGCATTATTCCCTGCATTTTATAGACAAGCAGAGTTGAACAGTCGGGATTCAATCCTAGTTCTAATTATACCACCAACTCCATATAAGTATCTCCCACTGAGCTCACACAGATTACACTGTTAAGCCTAGATCTAGGGGAACTCTTCCTAGAGTTACTCCCCTTTCCTCTCCTTCATTAGGGGAAATTACAGACCAGGGCAAATTAGCTTAATAGCATGAGTCACAGTCTATATAGTAGAGGTGGGTGTCAGCCCTGCCAGGTGATAGTACAGGAAGTTACCAAATGCCTGTAAAGTGGCATAAAGGCCAAGTTCCCAGGAATAGAAAAGGACTTCAACAGGGAAGCCAGCTAAGTGTCAGCAACCCATCACTGTCCTTCCTCTTCTCAGTTCTCCATTATGGAAAAGCACCTTACCCACCCGCCAAGTTTTTCTAGTATGTACTCATAAAAAGGCTGTGTTTGATTCTATCTCCATTACCAAAAAAGGGGGGACACAGAGAGAGAGAGAGAGAGAGAGAAAGAGAGAGAGAGAGAGAGAGAGAGAGAG